TGGCGCTCCTCGCGGTGCTCTGCGGCTGCTGCGCCCCCTCCGTCCGCGGCACGGCGACGGCGGCCAATGCGAAGGTGCCGGTGGAGGTGTCTTGTGCGGCCACCGGCAACAAGTTGCGTTGGCGCGTTGCCGGCAAGGGGGATTCCGCTGCCTGGAACACGTGCCGTAGCACACCGGGGGATTCGGAGAGCAGTGGAGTCGATGCTGACAGCAATTCCCTCTGCATCTTTGCCGGATCTGTGTACCTGGAGAAGTTCCCGAAAGCGAGCTGCCCTGCATCCACCACAGATGGGGGCACGAATAAAGTTGTTGCGTTCACGATGAACTGTACGACGGCTGAAAACAGTGCGCTGCACAATCTGTCGAAGGGCGTAAGCGACACCCTCACCATCAGTGAAACGGAGGATCCACTGGGCGCGTCAGACGTTTGTGAGTTCTCAACCTTCGGTGAACCCGCGACTGAAGTGCGGTCTGAACTCCAACCTTCAGAACAGCGGCAACCAGCAGGCCCACCACAACAACAACCGGCAAATGCAGCAGCAGCGTCATCTTCGGCGCGAACTCATGACGGAGACCGTGCGAGGAATGGGGGCTCCACTGCTACTGTTGGGGAGCAGCCAGGCAGTGCGGCGGGTTCCACCGGAAGTCAGGGACAATCGGCAGAAGATCCTCGGGAAACACCAACGCCGTCGGTTGGCAATGCTGCTTCGCCAACACAGGCAACAGTCAGGGCAGCAGATGGACCCGGAGGTACACAAACACCTTCAAATTCCCAAGGCCGATCCGACGCCCCCAACGCCGCCCCTTCCGCCGGCGGCAGTGATGCAACCACCACGACTGGTGCAAAGGCGACCGACCGCAGTCCGAGTGATGGGAAGGACGCGAAACGCAACGCGGACGGCAGTGCCACCAACAGCAACACCACTCAGAAAGCCGTGGCAAATGCTGCGGATCGCAGTGCCACCTCCAGTTCGTTTGTGCGTGCACCTCTCATGTTGCTCCTCACGGCTGCTCTTGCTTGCGCCGCTACGTAAGTGGTGAGGTGTAAAGGATACAAACTCACACACCGTGGCAGGGGCGACGCGTATTCTTTGTGTGCTCAGTTTGCTTGTCGTCCCTGTGGGTCAATCCTTCACTCTCCCTCCTGTGCTCTGAGGGATGTTTTCTTTTTTTTTTTGCTTCGCCACCCCATGCACGTTCCCACGGGCGGCGCACCCTTTTCCCCCTCCTGTTTGCTGCCGCCGCCCACACACGCGTTGACGGCCGCATTGCTGTGCGCTGCACGGAGTGCCCAAATGAGGCACGAGGCCGCTGCCACCGTGAGGTGAGTGTGCGTGTGGTTGCGTGTGCGACCGGGCAGTTGTGTTTTTTTCATTCGTGCAGGCAGTAAAATGCACACATGCATCTCTCACAGTCCTCTTGTGCTGCTGGACACGTGAAAGTGAAGGAACACCAACTGCCGAAGTGATTCTTTTTTTATATATTTTGCCTTTGGGGGTTCTGCGTGGATTATTCATTTCCATTCTTCGTCTTCTTTTCTTCTTTTGCTGCCCGGGCGATGCCCGCCGCTGCCGTGCGGGGCCGCGCTTTTCTTAAATCCCTCTTCTGCCGATGTGCCGACACGCTTCTGCGTTGCCTTCCTCTCTTTTTTTCCACTTCTCCTCCCGCACACACGCAGCAGGAAAGAGCCCAAACTCTGCCCGTTGCCACTGTGCGCTTT